AATAAAGTGAGACTCTGTCTTTAAAAACAAAACAAAACAAAAGCTACTATTTGTGGCTATTGATTTTGTATCCTGAGATGCTGCTATATTCCTTGATCACTTCTAAGAGCTTTTTAGTTGAGTCCCTGGGGTTTTCCAGGTATAAGATCATGTCATCTGCAAAGAGGGCAAGTTTGACCTCCTCTGTCCCCATTTGGATTCCTTTCATCTCCTCCTTTTGCCTGATTGTGATGGCGAGGATTTCCAACACTATGATAAGTAGCAGTGGAGTAGAAATGCTTTGAGTTTACTCCATTCAATATTATATTGGCTGTGGATTTTCTGTAGATAGCCTCTATTAGCTTAAGGAATATTCCATCTAAGCCTATTTTCTTTATTTTTATTATTATTATTTTTTTTAAGAGACCAAGTCTCACTTTATCGCCCTTGGTAGAGTGCCATGGCATCACAGCTCACAGCAACCTCTAACTCCTGGGCTTAGGCGATTCTCTTCAGCCTCCCGAGTAGTTGGGACTACAGGTGCCCACCACAATGCCCGGCTCCTATTTTCTTTTTTTTTTTTTCTTTTTTTCGAGACAAAGTCTCACTATGTCACCTTTTGATAGAGAGCTGTGGCATCACAGCTCATGGCAACCTCAAACTCTTGGACTTAAGTGATTCTCTTGCCTCAACCTTCCAAGTAGCTGGGACTACAGGCACTCACCATAACCCCCAGCTATTTTTTGGTGGTGGTTGTCATTGTTGTTTAGCAGGCTCGGGCCAGGTTCGAACCCACCAGCCCCTCTGCATATGGCCAGTGCCCTAAGTATACTCAGGCCAGTGCCTGAGTATAGGCACCAAGCCTAAGCCTATTTTCTTGAGTGTGTTTATCATGAAAGGATGCTGGATATTGTCAAAGTCTTTTCTGCATCAATTGAAAGAATCATATGGTCTTTGGTTTTGATTCTACTTACATTTATAGATTTGCATACGTTGAACCAACCTTGTGTCTCTGGGAAGGACCTAATATTTAAAGGAAGTTAGTGCTGAGGATATTCAGATAAAAAAGGCAAGAGATCAAGGAGATTAGGAGGGTCAAAATAATTTTTTTTTAATAATTTTTTTATTTTTTTGAGACAGAGTCTCACTATGTCACCCTTGGTAGAGTGCCATGGCATCACAGCTCACAGCAACCTCCAACTCTTGGGCATAAGCAATTCTCTTGCTTCAGCCTCCCAAGTAACTGGGACTACAGGGGCCCGCCACTATGCCCGACTATTTTTTGGTTGTAGTTGTTATCATTGTTTGGCAGGCCCAGGCTGGATTCGAACCCATCAGCTCCAGTGTATGTGGCTGGTGCCCTAGCCACTGAGCTACAGGTGCTGAGCCCAAAATAATTTTTTATTAGTGTGCTGTAGAGATTTCTTTAAAGTGGCTATTCTTGAGTCATTCTGTCTTTTGGAAGCCTCTGTATACTGATCCAGAGAATGTCTGAGTATCTCATTGTTTCTGAGGCATTAAGGATCCCTTTTTTAAAAATGTACTAATAGATGAATAATTTCATCTAAAACATTGTGGCCACTATGACTCTGAGCTGAGATGCACCCATTTCTTTAGAAAAGCACAGGGTCTGAGCCCATAGTTTCTGAACATAAAATCAGCTAGGGTTCCAGATGAAGGATGGCAGGTGCCTTCGCTACTGATGAACGCATAGTACCCCAACCTTCTAAACTTTTACTTGAGGCCTCCTCCTAGACTCTGTTTCCTGTCAAACATCTTGTCCGACCTCCCAATCCCTGTCTGGATTCAAGATATAGTCTAGAAGCCAGTACACGAGACTCAACCTAGTCCAGTTCCTGGCGAACACCTGTTTTCAGCCTAGTAAAAATTCGAATGGCTCCAACATAGGAGGAAAAAAACCAGAGACGATATTAACCCCTGTCTATGGTTTACTGTATGCCTGTGAAGTAAAGCTATGATTATCCTCATTTACAGATGAGGAAAGAGAAGAAGGAAAAGAGGCCAGATGACTTACAACAGCCACAGGGCCTGGTGAAGCTGGCAATTGGAGGTATGGTTTGTTTGCAAGCTTGGTGCACAAGCCAGGGATGTGACCCAGAGACATCGGGGTCCTGGGTTGCGTTCACAGAGGCATGGGGCTGCACTCCTCCTTCCCTCCTATGTAACCTCAGACCAGCCCTGAGCTCCAGGTGACAGTTGCGGAAACCAAGATCCAGAGAAGTCAGTGATCTGCCAGAGGTCACACAGTGAGTCAAGGCAGAGCTGGACCCCAAGAGCTAGATCACTGACCATAGCCTCCTAGCCAAGCCCAGCAAGGGCGGAGCCCTATACACTAGACTAGGAGAAGCAAAGAAGGGGGAAAGCTTGGTTTCAGGGCAAACTACAAACTCCACTCCTGAGGGGAGGAAAGGCAGGGGAAATCATTCCCACACCTGACCTTGGCCCCTTGAGCCCTTAGACCTTCAAAATGCTTGCTTTAGACAGCAGTGCCCTCGTGTGGCTACAGCTGGCAACTACACAAAGTCACAGGTTGCCTCCCTTAAAAGGCCATTTCATTCCCCAGTGTGGAACCCCTTTCTACAAGGCTTCTTACAGTTGGAGCCTCAGAAATAGAAAAAACAGCCATTCTTGGGGCTGAGGGGAGGTGACAAGACCATGGACTGATCACTGGATTGAGAATCAGGAAGTCAGATAAACCCTCCATGTTTGGGTCTCAAACTCATCTGTATAAAAGGCCAAAACATCTATCCCACCTTAACTGTCTAAGGCTTTCACAAGGACCCAAGGAATCACAGACATAAAAGTGCTCTGTGCAGCACTGTGACCAGATAAAGGGTTACATAAAAACCGTGTGAGAAATACACATTGCAAGGTGTCCAAAAGATCAGGAATGCAGGTGGTTCCCCATCACTGGCAGCCTCCAACACTGCGTCCTTGGTGCAGACGTAGTAGCAGGAAACAAAGGCGTGGCCAGATAAGGGGGTGGACACGGAGCCCAGAGTCCAGTCTGCTCCATGAAACTCAATCCCGCAGAGGAAGGGGTCTGCCCTATGAGCTAAGGGAAGAAGCCACCTGCCTAGACCTGATCTGATCCAAAAACCCAGAACCTCCAGTTTCCCCATCTGTGTGATGGGGATAACCACATTTTCTCCAGGGCTGTTGTTGCAAAAACAGTTGTCAGAACATATAAACAAAACATCTCCTGGGTGGCTAGCACAGAGTCAGTTCACAATAAAATGGCATGTAAATTTCTTTGCATAAAGAGCAAGGACTGTTTTGTTCACCCAAACCTGTGCATAGCAATTGACATTAAACAAAAAAATTGACAGACAGCATTTGTTTGAAGCTACATTATTTAATCCCCACAACCAATAATGGATGTAGCTAATCTGTTTCCCCCTTTTACAGAAAAGGAAACTGGGTCTCCGAAATCATCCAGGTTAAAATGAAAATAAAAAGGCAGTCGGGATTAGATTAAACTCTGAATCTATCCAACTCAGAAGCGTCCCCATGTCTCAAAGACAGGAACGGAGGTGGCAATCACATTTCTAACCTTGTTCCCTGCTATGCTACCACTTAAAAAACACAAAAACATTAAATAAATACTTAGAATAAAAGGAGAGAAAGAAACTCAGAGTACAAAGCTCAAGTATAAATAGGCCAGAAGGGAAGCATGAGTGCCTAACAAGCGCCAGACACATGACGTTTGTTGATTAACTTTGGTTTTATCAAAGCTCTATGAAGGACCACTCCAACCTTTCAGGAGAAATGAGGGCTCAAACAGGCTTTTGAGGCTTCCACTCTTCCAAGGGAATGGGCAGTAAATACACAGGAAAAGCAAGCCCAGGTCTCCAAGCCTGAGGTCTTGGCAAGGGACTGGCAAACCTTTATAGCCATAACTTCTCATGGCATGACAGAAGCACTTTTCATACTTTTCGTCGATTTCCAGCAAGGAATTTGGTGAAAGACGGTGGACTAACTTGCCTGACTGCTCCCACTGAGTGGTGGGACCCACATTAGACTCTGGAGCTGTGATGATCAGTGCTACTCAACACCTGCTTGGTGCCACCTCTGCAGGCGCCATGAGGGCTCACTGTGGGACAATGCTAGTGAGGCAAGGCCCCCGATCACAGCTGGTCAAACAAAATCAGGTTCTGGACCATAACCTACATTTTTCAGCTTCCTTTTCTGCCCTTCATTCCTGGGACCACAGGGCCTGCTAATGATAGACCCCTACCAGTAAGGGGACTCTGTGAAGTTCCTTTAGCAACTCCTGAGCTGGTGTGGGATCCCACCTGGCCTCCCAGGTCAGGCCCATTCTGCAGTTGCCAACACTAAGCCAAGTTTCAGTAGCAGTTTTTGCCAGTGCTGCCCCTGCAGCCAAGGTGGCAGGTGGGCAACCACAGGCCTGGGTGACAGGGACCATGGTTGAGCTCCAGCTGCCTGGACCTCAAGCTAGAAGAGGCTCCCAATCTGAGGAGATGGGTGAGCTAGGATACTGGTTAGCAGGGTGCAGGCAGAAGTGGCCCAAAAGGAAAGGGAAGATGACACTGCAATCCAGACACCCGCCTCACCTTGGAAAAGTAGATACGAGACATCTATAGTTCAGGAGATTTGAACCTAAACCCAAGGGCTCACCAATGCAGCACAGGTCTGAAAGGTGAAAGCAAATGAATGAAGAGCCACAGGCTGGACCACAGGGCACAGGCTTTTAGAGGACTGGTACACAGATACAGGGCCTAAGGAAGTGAATTTTCTGATTTTTCAAAGTCTAAATCTGGATTTTTAGGTGCAATATCTTGACTTTGAAAGCACTGGGCAGGCTGAAACCAACGTCTTCAGTCAAATTTGGTTTAAGAGCCATCAGTTTGACACCCCTGCTCTATTCCAAATTTCTTGCCCTCCCACAGCAGAGAGAAAGAGGCACAGGTGAGACAGGGCTGGGCTATCCAGGGACACTACATGAGGGGGGCCTAGAGTGTTAAAATAAAGCACAAACACAGATTCCAAAGTTCTGTATTTTTCAAAATAAAGATCACACATTGTTTAGAGACAATCTACACAAGAGTTACAAAAAATAGTTGCCCAGGCATAAGCATACACAGGTTTGTTAATTATACACATATGGTTACAAGTGTGCTTGCAAAAAAGTTCATTGGAAATATACACAAGGCTCTGGAAATGTACACCGTGTAGTGTTACAATTCTATATTCAAACAAGGAAATTGACAGTATGTTACATTCACTTACAAGTAGACAAAATGCAAAATACAGTTCATCTTCTGTACAAAAAGGAAGGGCAATTCACACTTTACAGGTGAGGGGCTCTGATTGTAAGGAAAGCTCGGGCAGGGCTGAACTTTTGCACGTCCTTTTGACTGTCACAAAATAAGCAAAACATTACTTTTTTAGGATTAAAAAAAAAAACCCACTAGTTTGAACCAAATCTTGAATATAACATTTAGAAAGAATCTTGCTATACTCTGACTAGATGACAAATAAAACCAAGCTATTTTTTTCTTTTTAAACATTAACTAGGCTGTATAAAGAACATTTATTCCTTCAAAAGAAAAATTTACTTCTGGTTGAAATTACAATTTACAATATACAACACTATATGCTACGACCATAAAAGGTGAGAATATACACTGAATGCACAGGGCTGGCTAATTTTCTTTTCTTACCAAAAAACGTGTTTATGTTGATTCAAACTTCTCCACATTTACATTACAGGTATACAAATGTACAATTGTACAATCAAAAGTATGTTCGACTACTAGGGTACATTATAGATACAGATTAGACATCAAAACAAGAAAATACTACAAATTTGTATATATGCAAAGTCTACACCAAGTATACACTATATATTTATAGAAGCAAGACCAAAAGCAGAGTTGGATTTTTTTTTCCTCATGCTAAATAATCAGATTTTGCCTTTCAATGTTAATAGAAAAGAATTCAGTAGGCAGTAAACAGTCACACCCACCCGGCCTTGACACACCTTCTGGATGCTCACGTCTCCTCCTCACAAAACAGGCTGTACTATCTTCTTCAGCAGAATATAGTCTCCCAAAAAAGCAATTTTTAGAAGGTTCATAAACAATATCATAAACTGAAGCTTTAGCAACTCTGAAATGTTTTTCATTTTATTTATATATATATAATATGTATATATATATATTTTTATAAACAGTGTTAAATGCCAGTTCAGGGTCATTTAACTAAAATTCAAACTTCTCACTTTTTTTTGATTGTTTTTGTTTTTTACTAAAATGAGGAGGTGGGGAGGAGTTATTTGCAAAACTTGCCGGCCAGGCAAATGAGTTAAAAACGTTTTTTTTTTTTTAAACATTTTTTTGTTAAACCAACCACCCTGAAAGTTTCCATACATGGAATATAGATACAACAAGGAACAAAATATGTGGCCTCCCATGTACATTGGTTACCTATGTACAAGTATCCTATACACCAGTAAAACAGCAGGGCAATTAGTCAATTAAAAAAAATAATTAGTACATGTTATGTGTAATAAAATTAAATTTACAAAGGCTTTTCCATTCATGGATTTGATTCCTTTTTTGGAGGAGGGAGTAATCCTGGAGCAACCATTTGCCCATTTCAGCTTCTAAACTACAACATTTCTGGTTGCTGGTTGGATTTGCCTGTGGGCCAGTGAGGTCAGCGGGAATGAAGGAACAGGGTGGCACTGCCTCAGATAATACCATTAGGTGGGCCACAGATAGGCCCTAAGTCAACGCCATTCTTCATGTAGTATTTCTCCAGCTTGGCCAAAATGTGCTTGCCGTAAGTGTACTTGCGAAGAGTTGCGATGTGGGGCCGGATCTGGGGAGGAAGGACAGTGTGCGTTACATGGGCCTGGGAAGAGAATTGGGCAGACTCCTGGACACTGTGTCACACAAACATACATGCTCTAGACCAATGTCTTTCAACTGGTTTGGCCAAGTTTCATGAATTCTAGCCCCTTAGTGACCCATCAGATGAGGAGAGTAGCTCCTGTTCTGAGTGCTGAAACAGGATGTCTGGGCAGCAACAGGCCACTCAAGACAGCACATAGAAAAAGTATATCCTAACTGACAAAAATGCACTGCCCACCCCCCACCAACTGCACAGTCTCCCAGCAGACATCTGTATAGGTCCCTTGGCTCCACCCAAAGCAGTGGGGGCTCATTTCTGAGCACCATGAACATTTTAAGCTCATCACCTAATCCTGTCTCCCCAGGTCACAGTGGATCACAAGAGGCTAGTAAGGACAACAATAAACACAATAGACATTATGAGCTGGGTGTGATATCCCCATTTTACTGATGAAAAAATTAAAAAATGAAGGCAAAGAGTATTTAAGTCACTCAGCAAAGGTCAAATGGCTATTAAAGGATAAAACAGGTATTTGAGTCCAAATTGTCTGGCTCCTCTAGAAACTTGAGTTTCTTTCTTCACCCAATTTGGTTGGCTAAGGTGAGGCGTGAGAGTGGACAGGCGAGGAGAGCACAGAACCAGAGGGGTGCCAACCTCCAGCCCATTTCACAAGCATTCTTTTCTAGTCTCCCCTACGTGGGCTGACTCATGTAAGTCCTATGCATCCCAGCAACTCAGAGAGGTGCTTCCTTTGTGGAAGGCTCTTTTCTGTGAACTCCCAGAGCAGTCCACATACCTCACTATGTTCACGATGTTTTGCCAAATTATCAATCTTTCCACATAGACAGTACGGGATGAGGGTTTACTAACCCATTTCCCCATCCAAACTTACACTTGCCTACGCAAACACACTGGGCAAGTGTGCCAGAGTAGATGAAATGAATATTCTCTATAGATTGAGAGCTCCTGAGAACAACAATTTTTGTCAGTGTAACTATAACCTCAAAGCAAAGAAAGGTCAACGGCTCTAGAAACCATTTCATCCCACATAGCCCCCTACCTGGTATTACATTCCCACCTGAGAGACTACACAAGAAACTGACATACAGTCCTTGGTCCTAACTCTGAGCTGTCTGAACCAGATTACTTGCCTGACCTCCCTAAACTCATATTATTAAAAAAGAATGCAATAATGTTACACTTTTCATTTGGGTTGTAGTAAGGACCATGCACCTGGCTAATGTTTTTATCAGTAGAAGCTGAGGTTCAGGATCCCCTTACTTTTGGGTAGATCTCCTAAAAAACAAAGCAAAATCAAATTCATTTCCCTGAGACCAGCTGACTAATGAGTCCACGCACTTAATTCTCTACCAGACTAGACATAAATAAAACAAAAACCCTAAAAACACACACACACACGTATACACACAAAAAAATACTGCTAAGCTCCAATTTTTATTTGATTTAATGGAAGTGAAAGGTAATCAACCTGCTCTCTCCCCCAGTGCTCCTTGCGCTAAAGAGGATATCAAGTGATAAAAGCGCTGAAGAGGATTCTTAGAACTCTTCTTCCTTCAATTTCCTCAACCCAACACTTCCACACCCTGCTGATTCCAGTTCCATCATCATAGGCTGACTTCACAGTCTCCGCTCCTCCCATTACAACGTCTACTCGGCAGCCAGGACAACTCTGTGAAATGAAACTGTGACTACCACACTTCTGCCCTAGTGAACTTGCTTTACTTCTTTTTCTTTTCTTTTTTTTGAGACAGAGTCTCACTTTGTCACCCTCAGTAGAGTTCCATGGCATTACAGCTCATAGCAACCTACAGCTCTTGGGCTTAGGAGATTCTCTTGCCTCAGTCTCCCAAGTAGCTCAGACTATAGGCGCCCGCCACAACGCCTGGCTATTTTTTTGTTGCAGTTTGGCCAGGTCCAGGTTTGAACCTACCACCCTCGGGATGTGGGGCCAGCACCCTACTCACTGAGCCACAGGCATAAAATAGTGAAGCCAGCCCATGATGCTTTACTTCTTCAAATGTGGAGACCTGTGACCTGCTTCCAAGTCTTTATACATCATGTTCCCTTTTCTCGAATGATTCAACACTTTATTCAAATGACATTCCCTTGGGAGCATTCTCTGTATCCAACTGCAATGACCAACACCAGTGCAGTGTTTTGGCTTTGTTTGAATTGGAGGAGGTGGGTGTCTTGTCTGGCTCAGAACTTGAGTCCGTAACAAAGATTCTCATTAGCGAACTTTGTTCTCAGTGAGGGCAAGTGGGTCATCACTGCCAGACAATGGCCAACCAACCCCACAAGGAAGAAGAGCTGAGGGAGCTCAGAGCCCAAAGGCTGAGGGTTCAGATAAGAAGTACCCAAGGCTCGAGGCTGGAGGCACTGCCTAGCACACAGCCCAGCACACCCTGCCTGTGGGTCTGTTCTGCCTCCTGGGTTCTGTGGTCTGTGCAGTGCTGGCTGGAACAGCTCCATGAGCCCTAGGCCTCTTCTGTTGGATTCTGCCCCTCTACCTTAAGTCCTCTTTAGCCTTGCCTTTTCCTGTAAAGCTGTCTCTTAGGGACTCTGTGCAGGGTGAGCAGCCCCTCTCAGAGCTCTCTAGACACTGCCTTGCACTGCTCTTTCCCACCAGACTGCGCTCTGTGGGCAGGACCAGGTCCTAGTCATCTCTGTGCAGCTGGTCCTGGCACAGATCGGGCTTAAAGCCCATATGTGCGGCCACGCTCTACACTGGGCAGGCCCTTGTTCAGTAAGTGTTAGTGAGAATGAGAAAGCAGAGAAGGAATAGGAAAGAAAAGGAAGTAAGGCAAACAGGTGATTCGCTAGACTAAAATGCTGATCCCTTAGATTAGAAATCAAAGAGGAAAATATGTCACAAAAACTGAGCTGAAGACTTTCACACTAGTAGGTTATGTGGCAATAAGAGGGGTGGCAAATGTGGGGACACAGCATGGGGCAGAGTCCACAAAAAGACAAACTCCTCAAAAAGCACGGTGTCCCCTCCCCTTGGTGTTTCACACACTTTCTCTGACTGAGCTCCTGTTCGACCGGGCCTACCTTATGCATGACAATCTTCCGCTGGCCTGGCTCTGCCACATCAATCATCTTCTGGACCACATAGTTGGCATACTGGTCCTTCATCATGGTGTATAAGGCACTGTGGGGACCGTCATTCATGGTGCACACCTCATCAATGAGCACGGCACGCTCCGTACGTGAGGCATGAGTGACACATTTCTCCACAACATTGCTGTAGTAAGACAACATGAGAGCTGGTCAGAAGAGGGTCTCCTGCGAAGCTGTGCTTGGCTAGCCTCTGCCAAGGCCTCGGGGCCAACAAGAAGAGAATGCTAGCATTTGTGGAAAATTAGTTTGTTGACTGGCTCTGTGAGACTCTCCAGCTCTGCCATCTGAGTGTATAACTGTAGATCATGTCTGAGATCAGGTCTTACCTTCTAACACAGCGGTTCTCACCCTGTGGGTCACGACCCCTTTGTACCAGTAAAAATATATCCTGCATATCAGATATTTATATTACAATTCATAACAGTAGCAAAATTATAGTTATGAAGTAGCAATGAAAATAATATTATGGTTGGGGGTCACCACAACATGAGGAACTGTATTAAAGGGTTGTGGCATTAGGAAGGTTGAGAACCACTGATCTAACAGGTGAGGGTAAGTAGGAGAAGAGACTTATCCTACTTACGCCTATCTCCCTGCTGCCAAGCACAGAGTTCAGAACTTACTTGAGGCTCTACAGACTTAGTTAAGCCAAGGACCACGCACGTGCTCAACTACTACATGCCGCCTCACAGGAGTATAATAGGAAGGCCCCTAAGACCTGTCAGCATTTCTCTATACAAACAAAAGGGAATGTGATTACTTAGATAACACCACAAAATTCTCCAGGCTAAATATTTAAGAACTATCATCCTACCAGATATTCTTTCAACCTTCCTTCTTAAGATACATGCTGTAGGCTCAGCCCCTGTGGCTCAAGAGGCTAAGGCGTCAGTCACATACACGTAAGGTGGCGGGTTCGAATCCACCCCGGGCCCGCCAAACAACAATGA